TGGTGGAACCCCATAGCTGAACTCCGTAAGTCCAAATATGCCTTATTATAGTCATGTAAATGAGTCTTTTATAATTGATTGGAAGGTTAGAGCGTTTGTCTAGTAAGTGTTGAAGTAGTCGAAAACGTCGAGCTGTTTCTTGTCGTTTCATTCTGGTATGAGGATTAAATGTTAGACGTTTGTCTAGGTGGAGTCCTAGGTAACTTTTGCTATCTTAAAAACATCTGGAAAATCCTACAACGACCCTTTTACTTACCTAACAATGTGTCAGTACTTGAATACCTCCAGTGCTCGAAACACGGTTAGTAATAGTGAATAATACATTTCTTATAAATTCATTATACATTATTTTTAGTTTATATAACTTTTTACATATTTCATTTGCATATTTCATGTATAACGTTTTTGTTATTATTAACCATTATCTGTCGTATAATATTATATCTCTGAATGTATTAAACAATTTTTCTGCCGTGATGATGGCCCCCATGTTTGGGTTGAAACGTCGACACCAATAAACACTTTATAATGACTCCGTCTTGAGTATTTATCACCCATACTAACGAACATATGAAAATAATAATTACAGTAATAATTGGTAAAACAGAGAAAAGAAATAAGAAGTTATGTAAAGAAAATAATATATTTAAATAGAAAAATTAAGGTACTGTAAAATCTATCAAAACATACTGACTACATAGAAGAGAAATAAAAAGTTAAAATTATGTAAATTATTAAAATAAGATGTAATGAGTAAATGTATAAATATTCAGAAAATAGACGCAGAGATATGGAAAATAAAATAAAGAAAAAAAAGATGATAATATGAAGAATTTATAATATTTTTTTCGAAATAAAATACTTTTCATAAATTAATATTACCATTACTTTTTTCACATATTATCATTCGGTGAATTATTTAGAATTGTCAATTAGTAAAATCAATAATGATATATAACTGTGTATTTATATAAGTAAAAAAATATACTTGTTAAAAATATATTATTCATTTGAAACACTTGAAGAAAAAAACAGAAAAAAAAAAACAGCACTTGAAAAATAAATCTCCTTGATATGAATTATTAACGCTCACTAAAAGCAGTTCGTTAGTTATCTTGTTAAAAGAATTGAGTAATCAGCCAATGAGTAAACAATTTTGTTTTTAGATTTTATTTTGCTCGAAAATGGTATAATGTAACATTTTTGAAGAGAATTTGGATTTTGTTAATATCACTTACGACCCTTGTATTTTTTTTTTTTTTTTTTTTTTTTGGCATTCCTAACCTTGTTAAGATCTTTTGCCACCTTAATCAGCCTTCATCACCTCTTCTTGTCTTGGGATATTTCTTTCCAGTTATCTAAATGCAGTTCTGTTATATCTATCTGCTTTTTGGTCTTCCATGTCTTCTATTGAAACATCTATTGTAGAGGCTTCCAGATGGATTGCTGGGAGCTAGATGCTCCGCACACTAACTTCTGAAATTAGATATAATTTCTTTTTTGGTTTATTATTTTCAATAATGAAACATTGTGATCGACCGAAAAATTCAAAAACATAACCCTCTCTTAAAATTTGAGGTTTCACGTTTCAAGATGCGTAGAATTCGAAAAACGAATACAAATTTTTTTGTCCGTCCGCCGTCCGACGTCCGCCGTAAGCCGTCCGCGCATTTTCTCCGAAACTACTGGACCGATTTTTTTTTTCAAATTTTGATATAAAATCAGAGGTCACCCGAGGATGATCCTCCTTTATCGACATTACTCTCCGCCTTTAACTTTCAAAATGGCGGCCGAAAAATCTGCGTTGCTATAGACTAGCTCCTAAACGAATGTACAGATTTCAATGAAACTTCGCTAAAGTCATTTTCTCGACACCTTTTAAATTTATCTATATAACATACTTCAACGAAAAGAAGCTGGAAAAAAAGTTACGATGGATGTTAAAATTAAATTCCGAATAACTCGAAAAGTTTTTACTTTTTTGTTGTTATTTATGTTTTTTTAAAAGTTTATGAAATTTCCTAAAAAAAAAAAAAAAAATCGTTGATATCGGATAATTAGGAGCAAAGATATGGTCTCTGGTTTGTTTTTATGTGTTCTACTCCAAATGTTATATCCTTGGTTTGGTTTTTAAATTTTAAATGTGTTACTGAAATAATGTTTTTTTTTTTTTTAGCATATTACTAATGATTAAAGAAAAACAGTTTATTCCAATAATTGGAATCACCTTTTGTTTTGTTTTCTTTGTAACTCGGAAGGTAATGTTACTTTAGATGTATAATTGTTTGGAGATAATAAACCATTGTGAAATCATATGCAGCGTTTTCCCTTATGACCGGGATTTATTAAATAAGATTACTTTTCACAAATTATTATTTATAATTTTTCGTCATTCTCCATTACTTTTCTACGACTTTCTATATTAGATATTGTTTTGTTTTTTTTAAATTCTCCGATATCCAACACGCGTATTTTCTGACCAGTATTTCCTGAAATTCATTTTTGGCCTTAATAAACATTTTCCTTTTTTTCTCCATTTTTCAAATGTTTACAAAATTCATATTTAGCATTTTTCTTAACTGTTAATAATGAGAGGTGGTTAATCATTCAAAATAAATCAACTTTGGTTGATTGACATGTTGAACATTTAAGCCCTGCAACGTGATATCAACAGGGATAAGGCCTCAATGATATTAAAGACCACTGAATTATACAATGATACACTGTAAGTTTAATCAAAATCGTTGAAGTCAATTTTTAGAAAATTGTAAAAATGTGTATAACTGTAGGTGGCACTTCCGGTTAGTCGATTTTGGTAAAAATGTCGTTGTAACATCTGAGGTATATACAAACCTCAAATGAGCAATTTCAATTTCATACGACTTTTCGTTTTTGTGTTAGATTCGTCACATACATACACACAGACAGACCATTTTGCGGGACTTAGTTATTTGGACTCAGGAGACATTAAAATATGTATTGCCGTTAAAAATCCAGATTCGAAAATTTTCACGATCGCAATAATGTCCCTTACTATGTATTTCATATATAGGTAGGTAAAGTAAAAAGGGGTAAGCAGCAGAGCTCTGTCACTAACATTATATTTTCTTATTATTTCTAATTTTCAAAAAAATAGAAAGGAATTAAATTGTTTCATTTGTGTTAAATAGAGAAATAACAGCTTTGCAAATTATTATTAATTAATGGTTTCTTGTACTCAAATAGTTATAAGTTCAATTTGTATAGCGTATCCCCACGAACGACTTTACCTAACACATTTATTGAATAATATATATTTTTAATAAGCTATATACATATATATATAAAATTATAAAAATTGTCAGAATTTGGACCTTCGGGTAGGTTTGAGATATAAATAAAAAACCGATGCAGCGCCTAAACCGATTAAAATCGATTTTAATGAAAGATGGCCAAATTCGCCTCCTCGAAGAACTTTAAATTTACGTCTATAATAAACTTCATTCAAAACAAGCCGAAAAACCGAAAAAGTATTAACTTTTTTGTTGATATTGTATATGGTCATTTGAAAGTATACTAAATTACGCAATCCTTCCTTCCACTGACGACTTTCGATACTGTGGAAACAGTCCTTTATTAGTATTATCCCCCTCTCTAATAAAAATAGTGAGGGAGCGAGAATATCGTTTACACCTCCCCTCCCCTCCCAATGATTCGAAGGAAAAAATTAAAATTAATAATAAATAAGTTACATGAATAAATAAAATATGTAAATTAAAATCAATTAAGAAACTAAGGAAAGTCGACTAGTTGGCTCTAGGCTAAAGATTAGAAGTAAGTACGCAGGCAGCTATTATATCACGACTTAGATGTTACTATTATTATTTCTTATCACATTTTCTCGTGGAAAAATTGAAACATATATATTTAATTATCATAAGTATAAATATATTTTATAGAAAATATTTTTTGTAGAAACTTTTTTATAACTAGTGAGACTGTTGTATTTTTGTTATGAGGTTGTGCAAGCTAAGAAATCAAAAATATATTTAGTTTTTATTCTTAAAAAAATATAGCAATATATGTTACTATGTTATGGAGGCTGTTTAATGTATACAAATCATGTTTAATGTATACAAATATGTAATATATTCAATTGTTTTATTCAGATATTATAAGATACCTGTATATAAAAAATAAAAAACAGAATCATACAAAAATATATATAAATTTATTTTCATATATTCATTATTATATCGATATTGTTACTGAAAAAGATTGTATGTAAGAATATTTTATGTTAATTCTATTAATGCTGTTTCAATAGACAAAAAGCCAAGTTCCCTCAAAAACACATGCACTATATCTCGGACTATATTTGGACAAAATCTCACCTGGAGCATACACACTAAATTAAAAACTGAGCAGATGATAAAAACAACTGTCTCTCCTCTCAACTTACAAAATAAGAAACTGATCTGCACTCTGTCGTTCTTCAAATGAAAATGGAAAGTCTAGTAATTATATTATAAATGAAAAAAAATCACATAACAAAGCGATGAGTCTCCAATATACAAGTGAATAGTATATCAATTTTAATCAACGTTTCACCAATTCCGGCATCACCAAGACAGAAAAACTAAGTTCTCATATATATATATATATATATATATATATATATATATATATATATATATATATATATATATATAAATGATTGCTGTAGACATATCATGAAGCTATCCAAATATATTACTGAAGGAAAGAGAAGGTTCTATAGTTATATATTATTTTTGTTCCTCCATACTTTCTAAAAGGCTTTGGTTGGGTTTTAGTGTTAAATTAAATATTTGAGAGGGACAGGAAAAATTATCCTAGGAGTCCGGGATAATTAACCCTAAGTCCAATTGTTCCTGTCCGTGTTCTGTCCTCTGCATATTCTTTTTGTACGTGGCTTTCCTTAAATACCAACACAAATAAATAAATAAATAAATAATATTAAATATTAATAGAGATCTAACCTTGGGCTGGCCCGGCTTTGTGAGAGCTTCCTCGTGCTCCAGCAAGGCCTCTACAGCCTCGACGAACTCTTCGGATATGGCGTGGAGGAGAGCGTCTTTGGTGTCTACCCGGTGCTCGATGAGCAGCTCCACCATCTCGGGGTTCTCGTTGTCTATGGCCATCAGGAGTGCAGACCGGCCCAGGGGGTCCACGCAGTTGAAGTTGATGTAGTTCGTCTCCAGGGCCTTTTGCAGCATCCTGCGAAAAGGCATTAGTGCTCAATTAAAAGCAGTGGCCTCTAGACCTTTTTAATGTTATTGGAGAACTGAAAATGCCACTAAAATTCTAAGCGTTTGTAGGCTCCAGTATACTCTCTCAGCCTCCACTGGATTCCATTTCCAGTGATGCGGCTAAGAAAGAAGCACTGGGATCTCATAGAGTCTTGCCTTGTCTTCCGTGTATTTTTAATTTATTTTATATTTTCTTTCAATGTTTTACTCTACTTTTAATCATTATTGCAAATTATTTAACTTTTTTTTGTTGATTTATTTAATGAAATTTACAACTGTAAATACAATTAAATACGAATGAATAATACAACTAGTAAATATGCTCAAATTATAAATAATGATATGAACAGGCTTGAAGAGATACTACCCAGTGGTAGCACTCCCTAAATAAGGGACAACTAGTTCATCTGTCCACCACCTGGCAGCGCCACATAAAATACTCAAATCGCTTTGTTTGTTTATTTAATGAAATTTACAACTGTACACAAATACAACTAGTAAATATGCACCAACTATAAATAATGACTTGAAGAGATACTACCAAGTGGTAGCACTCTCTAGATAATTTTAAGTTAGAAGATCACGAGGCCACCTCCTTTTCAGTCGCCTAGGAGGATTATTGGATGGGACTGGAGTTTATCATGAAAGGATAGGTATCTGGCTCGGGTTAAATCAGCGTCATATGGAACATTAAGGTCTTTATGAATGGTTTTATTTGTGACAAAGTATAGAGCATTAAGGATTTTACAAGGAGGACTTTGGATTGTAAGGATTGGATACGAGAGGAATTCGATGGTTTGGTGGAGGCTCATTATTTAACTTTATTTTAAATACATGCACTCTCGCTCAATCTCCACTGGCTTCAGAAACAGTGACGTAGTCGAGAGAGTAAGGCAGAGATATCCTGGAGTCCCCGTATAGTGAATAGTGTATATAGGTTTGTTTGTATTTTATTTTACCTACTTTAAGTTATTTTATTTTTATTTATTGTATATACGTTTTGATTATTATTTAGTTGGTAGTTTGTTTCTGTTTATTTTATCTATTTATACTTACATATATATAGTTTAAATGCATTCTTATCTCACTACAACCATTTTCCATGTGACAGAATGTTATAAAATATATATATATATATATATATATATATATATATATATATATATATATTTATATATATATATATATATATATATATATATAATAAAAAAAAATTCTTCACATTAAGATACATTTCTGTTTTTTCATTATTTTGTAAATATAGAATGAATGTGTCACTCATGTCTATAATTCTTATGTAGAAGAATATTTGTTCTTAATAAAAAAAAAAGTAGTAAATAAAACTAAATAAAAAAATAGAAAAACAAGAAGCACAAATGAAAACTGAATAAGTTATATATAGTTCAAATAAGTTGTCTAAAAAAAATATTAAAAATTAATTTCTCTAAATTTTTATACATCAAATATGTAGATATCTATTGAAAATATATTTTTATAAAAAAGAGTGTCATTTGGGTTAAATAAACTTGAATGTATTACTGACGAATTGAATAAAAAATAAAATAACGAATGAAATATATATTTTAGTATAGCTAATACATAAAATTCGTTATAAATAAATAATATATATTTATTATTATTATTGTTTCATAAAATGATAGTATTATTTATAATTTTTTTTTTAATTTTCTTAAATATCTATATATTATAATTTATAAATAAAATTATAGTGCCGTGACCAGGATTCGAACCTGGGTTATTGCGGCCACAACGCAATGTCCTAACCACTAGACGATCACGGCTGGCCAAGAATTGGGATAATTATCAGAAAATGATTAATTTTAGTTCAAGACAGAGATGTGTTAATATAAATTATTTATATACCATATATATATATATATATATATATATATATATATATATATATATATATATATATATATATTCATGTGAATTATTCATTTATGTAGGGCTACTCATCTAAAAAAAGTATTCCATTGGTGTATGAGTAAGTCATTTCGTCGTGTTGTGAAGCTTAAGCTACATGACCTAAATGTTACCACAGTTGTAAAGTTTAGATATTGTACTGGAACATGGCTTGAATTGATTTCATATCGCACTAGGAGAAAAAAAATATGATTTATTCTGAGTATGAATCCTGAAATAACAAATGTCCTTTCCGACAGGTGAAATCGAAGGGACGGCCCAACCTCTATCAGGACGAAGGATGGAGACTGAGACATATCCTTGGACCCACCCGAGCAAGACCCGGAAGGACTCCTGCGAAGCAATCGGTCACCATTGATAGATGTCCTGCGAGGTCCTTTGTCCAGGATCGGAGAAGGTTCTCAGTTTTATACCCAGGTCATCCACCACTGCTAACACCGTGGTGATCCCTCCTCTCCAAACCCATATTCTTTAGCTTTTATTTTAGTTTCTGTATATATATGCGTACACTTGAAAAAAAAAAGAAACTAAAATATATATTCTTTTTTTTCCCACCCCCACGATTTTATTTATTATACAACCGGCAATATATAAATACAATTTTATATATATGTGTAAATTGAAGCTCAATTTAAATATCTAGAAAGCTGGGTAGATACCAACATTCAGTATTATGGAGTAAGAAAGTGGCCTCTGAAAAAAATAAAAATAATTTATAAAACGTTCCTGGAAAGTGTTACTGATGTATTGAGTCGAATCTTTGACAATTAAAGAGTCGTTCAAAAAGATTAATAGCTCAAGAAATGAACTATCATAGTCCGTGGTACAGACTCGTCTTTATAAAATTATTAACATCCGCCTGAAACTTCCTGAATAGCCTCATCTCATCATATCCTACAACTATTTTATTTACGAATTATTTTTTTGGAATCGGGGCATTGGTTGGAAGTCGGCAAACTTTGTTTATTTAATTTGGTACTATCAACTCGTATATACATATTTGCTTTCCACTTGGATAGTAAGATAATTTGATAAAAAAATCGAGGAAAAGGGTGGCATACAAAATTATGGGTCCGTTTGGCCGATAAAATCTCGTTATTTTGATATTTTATTGGAGGCGTAGGTCATGCCCAACGGCTCAATATTTTTGAAGTGATATGGGCATGTGATGAGAAAAGAAGAGGGATGATGAACTAAATGAATTTTTGATTGGAAACCGGAAAAAAGATGGAAAGGAATGATGAACAGGGGCATGTGTAAAGGAAATGGGAAGGAAAGAGGAAGATGGCAAAAACCTATATTTGATGACGAATTATGACTAATGTCTTAAAAGTTGATAAATAAAAAAAAATGTACAGCTCACCTCAATGAAAATACACTTTCTTAAAAACCTACAATTCATGTAACACGTGTAACCATTCATGTAACATGGTCTAGATTCCATTTGAAAACAGATGTTGGACAACGTTTTCCTGGAGTCCTAGAAGACTAGGTCTATTAATTATGTCAATGTCTCTTTCCGAAGAGGTTACCTAGATCTTAAATATGAATTTTTCCGAAATAGGGCATATCGAAAGAGACTGAAATACGCGATATCATCGCGACGGGGGTTCGAGAACAATCACAGTTTTTCCTCGACGAAGGTCGGTAGAGATCGCATTGAGAAATCGGACCCTCATTCGGAAGATTAAACGAATGCTATTGTCTCCTTTGAAGCTCTGTAACGACGGCATAGTTCAGCTTTGCATTCAACTGATAATGATCTCTTCGTTTCGATTTCTTATTCTTATATGTTTTGTCTCGTATAATTAATTGTTGATTCGATTTCGGTAGAGAGACAGTTTCGAAGAAGTGGCACAATACCTGTTAGACATCAACTTCTTTAACTTAATTTTTTACTTTCCTACCTATACTAGGTAAGGAAAATATTGCAATCGGGTCAAATTTCCGATATGCGGTTTTCGACGGATCTATACGTTTCAGAGCCCCCTGAGTCCGAAAAACACATTTTTAGCCATTGGTCTGTCTGTCTGTGCCAAGATTTTCTCTTTGTTTATTTTGTAGGGTTTTTGACTACTGATGCTTGTGACAGAAATTCGGTGCTCCATGCGCAATAAATGAAAACATGTTTTTCTATAGACTGTAGCGTGAAAACGGCTCTAACGATTTTGATGAAACTTTCCTATAATGTTCTAATAATTGTTATTTAAATTTTCTGATATCGACTGAATTCTTTGGAAAATTCAGGAAAAAAAATTATAAAGAAAATAAAAATGTTATGGGGCATAACTCGCTGAGTATATATTATACGGTAAAACTTATAATTAAACTTTTGAAAGGTAATTAAATTACCTCCAAACCAAAAAAAAAATCATCGGAATTGAACCAGTATTAGCGATGATACAGCGTATTCTATTTTCTACACATGTTGTAATTTATTACTTTCCTACCTATACCAGCTAAGGAAAGTATTCCGATCGGGTCAAATTTCAGATATGGGGTTTTCGACGGACATTTCAGAGCCCCCTGAGGGATGAATGAGAGAAAAAAGATGAATAAGTGAAAGTAAGAAAATCTGTGGCCCGCATCACACAAGCTTCACTATTACCTCCAGTTTTAACAGAAATTATTGTTTGAAAAAATTAAGATATGACAAAATTTTTTTGATCAGTGATATTAGAGAGTATTGAAATTTTTACACTGATCTACCTTAAGCCGGTTTACATTGCTTTAGTTTATCAAATAAATCGTACTCAAATCTTTTCTTTGATAAATTTTAAGGAAAATAAATCTAATTCATTTTTTTTTGTTTCTTCATGAACATATGTAAAGATATAAAAACTTTTCTGAAATAGGTAGAAAAGTAGTTTGAGTTTGTTATTTTTTTAATGAAATTTACAACTGTATAAAAATACAACCAGTAAAAATGCACACATTAGAAATAATGACATGAAGAAAATTGAAAAGATATTGCCCAATGGTAGCATTCCCTATTTAATTCTAGTTAAGAAGATCCATCTTCTTT